AGACCATGCAGATTGAATCATCTGACAAGATAAGTGTGCTTTACATTGATGATGAGCAACATAATCTCAATAGCTTTAAAGCCCAGCTGCGGAGGGAATATACCATTTATACCGCCGTTACTACCAGTGCTGCAGAAGAGATCCTCGATGCGCATCCTGAGATAGAAGTCATTATCAGCGACCAACGGATGCCAGGCAAAACCGGGGTGGAGTTTTTTGAAGAAGTATGTATAAAATATCCCTTGCCGGTAAGAATGTTGCTGACAGCTTATGCGGATATTGACTCTGTAATCAATGCTATTAACAGGGGCAGGGTGTTCCGTTATATATCCAAGCCCTGGAATGAGTTTGAGCTGAAAGCCGCGATCAAAGAAGCTTATCAGTATTATGTATCTAACTCGTTGCTGAAAGTAAAAAACGAGGAGCTGCAGGCAGCCTATGACGAGCTGGACCGCTTCTCGCACAGTGTTACGCATGATATCCGTGGCCCCATTGTCAGTGCCTTATCGGTGATCGATCAGCTGAAGGATGTAGATGACATGAACGAGATCAAGAAGTTTATGAGCCTGATGGAAAAGTCAATGCGCTACCTTGATTCCTACATCATGAGCACCCATAGTTATCACCGGATGAAACAGGGTGAGATGGAGATTAACGAAATTGACTTCCAATCGCTCATCGCCAGTATCAATGAAATGTACGAGGTGGAGAAACGCCTGAAAGGCATGCAGTTTGAAGTGGCGATAGATCAGCAGAATACGTTCCGGTCCGATGAAGTATTGTTATGCATGATCATTGACAACCTGCTCTCCAATGCCTTCAAGTATGCCAAGAATGTAGGTGCGGATCATAAGGTAAAGCTGAACATAGATGTGAAAGGAAAAGAAGCGCGTTTGGTTATTAAAGACAATGGCGTCGGCATCAACAACGATCATGTGGAGAAGATCTTTGATCTTTTCTATAGAGGAGATGGCGCTAAAGTGGCTGAGGGTACCGGTTTCGGTTTATACAATGTAAGCA